ACAACATTCGGGCTTGAGCATCATAATCGAATGGATTGTGGATGAGATGCGTTTTCGCTCCGTTTATAGAGTGGGATTGAAGGACCTTTCAGAATGGCACTGATGATTTTTGGGTCTCTCACTTTAAGCTAATTTTTCTTCAAGCGTCACTTAATATGTAGTGACAGGAGAAACTTGACGTACTAGCGCTGTCAACAATGTATTTCTTGTCATTGGCCTCATGAAACGAAACAGAAGGCGATGACTCCAGTTAGACCAATCATTATCTCAGCAGTATGTTCATGATTAAACGTTGCAGTTTTTTCAGCAGCGAGGTAATATTCTACATGGAGGTAATAAAACTTCTTTTTAGGATAATGTCTATTAGATAAGTCCAATCGTTATGAAGTTTTCAGTCTACTTCAAGGTGAACTATTTGCATCTGTAACTATTCGTAATCCACATTTTTCATCATCAAAAAAAAACTGGCAGAACTACAATGAAAATAATTCAGAGCGGCTACCCGATCAACTTGATTTTGATTTGACTTTACAATGGTGGCGCGTGCAAAATAAAAACAATGTAGGGATAATCAATGATTGGCGAATGGAATCATGTTTTTTCATTTATAACTTCTAAGCGAAAAGCGAGCTTTAGCTCTTTTGAACTCCAGTGAAATTTACTAATACCCACATGTGGCTGAAAGACTTCAAAATTATTCATTTCAAAGAAGTAGTTCAAGGGATTATATTTAACGTTCGTACCAAACTTTGCATCTATTCGTATATGATCACCCTTTAATGGGTACTGCGCTATTGTTTGAAAATGTTATCCTACCTGCAACTAATAAGTTATTTTTGTTCACTAGATTCAGTCGAATTTCAGACATGGTTGTGACTCGTTCGGGTGCACGTGTGGAGCGAGATCGAACTCGTGAAAGGTAGTCATCCAATCGATTTCTCTTTTCCACAGCAATGGTCTTCTTTATCTTTATTAATTATATATGTTTACTTATTACGAACCTTAGTCTATCGAATGCCGAAGTATAATCAAGGTACAACAGGTACACCTATGCTCCGAGAAGCCACCCGCTGCTGACTGAAGCCCTTGGAAATAAATATGTTGATTCTTACCTCGAAGTTCGTTTATTAAATTTCCAATTGCACCAACATTCTGAAAATTGCGTTTTTAGTATGACTGCCTTATGACGCCTGAAGAACTAAGTCGTCTTCACGAGCACAGATACTCAGCCTTGGATACTAGTTATCTTAGCGATTTTTGCATGAAATATTTTTGGGAATGGGTTGTGGAATTCTATCCCTTATGGTTGGCGCCCAATCTCATCACGCTGATTGGCAAGTTTTTGCCATAATTTTATCTAAATCGCCTTAGACTATTGGTGGTTTCAGGTCTCCTAGTAAATCTCGTAACCGTATTGGTTCTATCCCATTATTGTCCAACAGCTAAGGAAACAGCTCCATCATGGGCTTATGCCTTAGCTGCACTCGGGTTGTTCATATATCAAACATTAGATGCTACAGGTAATGATTACAGCCTATTTAACATTTTTTGATCTGTTAAAAGCAATATTTTTAATGTAATAGGAAATTTTCTAAATAAGTATTTTCTCTTCGATAGCAGCCGATGCAGAATCTGATTATTTAGATATCTCATTACCATTTTTGTTTATCCAAATCTGTTATGTATCTTATTGGAGTTATCTCTAAATTCAGTTCATGTGCATGGTTTTCTAAAAACTCATATTGTTGCGAAACAGTGGAAATTTGTGATTTAGATGGCAAGCAAGCCAGACGTACGGGAGCGGCCTCACCGCTAGGCGAGCTATTTGATCATGGTTGTGATTCAATATCGCAGGTGACCTAGACCATACGAATCTTGAAATCATCATTCAATTTGAAATAACTCTCTAGCATAGTTTTTCCTTTTCGATAATGAGATTTCCGCAATAGTTTTTCCTTTAACTTGAAATAAGTATCTAGCCTAATTTTTCCTTTTTGATAATGAGTTACCTTAAAATAGTTTTTCCCTTTTTCTTCTTACACATCTCTCGTATTCAAGTCTTCATTCCAAGGTGTTCGTTGCACTCAATGTAGCGTATGCCTTGCGACTTGGAGATGTACGATGTGGCGTGTTTTTTGTCGTCATCGTAACGGTCTCACTTTTCTACTGTGCTCATTGGAGCACTTATTGTACTGGTCAACTCAGGTACTTTGAGTAACTTTTCTTTTTGTCTTTTCGATGAGGTACTTTGAGGTTTTCGCAATTTGACGTGACAGAAGCGCAGATGGCAATAATCCTTTTGCTACTTGTCACAGCCGTATTTGGTCCTGGTATATGGACGATTGGTCAGTTAGTAGTTTGATCAAATCTTCTTTTTCTTTCGACGGAATTAGAGTTTAGGAGTTGTGGGTTATCAGCTGCGGCACTTACTACTTGCTTTCACATTTCTAATGTCTGTGTATCAAAGTTCATCCTATCTTGATGTGATATTCACTGGTGGTGTAGGAAGAAATGGATCCACGGGTATTCTTTTCATTCTATACATCAATAAAACGTGCACTTTCGTAAATGATTTGTTTACAGTCGCTGGCACTTCAGTTTTGTTCCCTATCTGTCCACTTCTAGCAAGCATTGTTCCTTTTGCAATGATTTATAGCAAATCCCGCTCTGCCGTATTTGATGAAAATATTACTATGTTTGTACTCTGCTTTGGAGCCGTTGTAGCAAAGGTTACCTTTTCTTATCCGTTTGTAGGGAACATTCTTAAGTTCACTTTTCGCCTATTTAGGCCACAAATCGCCTGATTGTGGGTCATATGAGCCGGAGTGAACTTGTTCTTTGGGATTGGATTTACCTAGGCCCCATAGCCCTCATGTTGAATCAGTAAGTTTGTTCAACCTACTTTTTATCCCGTGAAGTGTATATCCATCTTTTAGATACTATGATTTCATAGTTTGCGAGAAGAAGCTGCTATTTGGAGTTACAGTATATGCATATACCTCGTTACTTGTTTACTGTTGCATAATCACTCGCCAGATCTGCTATCATATGAAGATATACTGTTTCAAAGTTCCACCCAAAAGGCATTAGGTTAGAGTGATAGTG